TTTTTTTAGGTCTATGCATAAGCAATTTCAATTATTCCTATCAATGTAGGTTACTAGTGGGTTTGGAAGAGTGAATTAAAATGTACTCATCTCATTATATTCATTTTTTCCATTGCTCTTAATTGATTAAACCTTGGTGAGGAAGAGCTCAGTGGCTTAAGTGAATAAGAACTCACTCACTTCTGAAAAGGGCAGAGAGAGCACACAGGGTTGGGGAAAAATTATATACAATTTGTGTGTGAATATCTGCTGAGTAAAAGGGTAGCTCAAGGTTTAGGTTATATGCTAATTCACGTATACAGGTTTTTTATTTTTAAAGTCACTGACAAGCCTCATTACAGTGGTTAGCAGCTCTAGACCAATTTTAAATTGAGGTCATCTCTGAAATCCTACCATAGAATATTTAAGATATATAATAGCTGAATAGAGATATTTCCTTGATCAAGAGGAGACTGATCTCATGGAAAGATCCATAAGCTGACCCAGGAATCTTGCTGGGCATATACAGTAAGAAAGACATAAGAAGTAAGGCCTAGTATTTAAGGTTTTTAGTGAAATACAAGCTCTTTGAGAAACAGAAGCATTTTCAGTTTTATTGTTATATCCCCAGTGTCCAGCAAAGTGCTGGGCACATGTAAGTAGGGGCTTAATAAAGACTTTTAAAACTGAATTGAGTGTTTAGCTAAAATATTTGCAGTATCCTTTTTTTGTGGACCCAAATAATAGGTAAGGGATTATAAAAACAAAAACAAAACAGTTCCCATCCTCAAAGAGCTTACATCTTATCCTAGGAAACAACATCTACATGAATAAACACATGTGAAAAATTCGTAAGGCAATTTTGAGAGGGATACACTGGCAACAGGGATGATGAGGGAAGGTCTCATGTAAGAAAGTATTTTAGCTGAGGTTTGAAGGAAAGTAGGGATTCTAAGAGTATAATAAGCAGAACTAGGAAAATAGTATGCATAATAACTAAAGAATGCAAGTGAAAGGAACTCTAAAAGGAAGCCATTTTGGATTATGGTAAAAATCAATACTGGTCCTAATCAATTACAGAATCACAGAAAATCACAAGGTTTCAGAACTAGAATAGATCACACTTTTACTTTTGGACAGGTCCAATTGTTAGAAAAAATCTTTTTTGTATCTTGGCAACATCTATACCCTGTCCCCCACCATGCTTTTTGAGGCCAAGCAGGATACATACTCCCACCTTCACATAAATAGTCTTTCAGACACTTAAACCTAGCTATTTCATTCCCCATAATTTTTTTTCAACAGCTTACATATCCACAGTTTCTCTTTCTCCAACTGACCCACTTGTGACATGGATTCAACATCTTTCACTATCCCAGTTGCCCTCTTATGGATATATTCTAAATGATCAATGCCTTCCTTAAACTGTGGTATCTAGCACTGAACATAATAAACCAGATGAAGTGTGATGAGGTCAGATCACATGGAGGTACTATCACCTGGATGCTACATCAATATTTACGCAATACAAGATCATAGATACTTTTTTGGCTGTTATATTACATTGTTGAGCTTCTAGGGATCTAGCCATTTAAAATCTCTAGACTGGAAGAGACAAAATGCCATTTAATCATGCCTCCCCATCCTATAATGGGAAGGCATTTTTTAAACTTCATTATGAAAGCTGACACCAATCCCCATTATTTTTCTTTATATTTGATTCATCCCATTTCTCTAGTATGTCAAAGTCTTGGTGGACCTTGGATATCATCCAGTGTGTAACTATTCCTCCCAGATTTGCTCATCTGTAAATTTGATAAACATGCCATCTCTATGTCTTTATTCAATTTGTTGATTAAATTGTTAAATAGCAAAACATTAAGCACAGATCTTTCAGACTCTGCCCTGGAGACTCAAAATAAACATTGAACCATTAGCAACATTTTTTTAGTCTGATCATCCAGTCATTTTTGAATCCATCTATGAATGAACAAATGAATGAACACATTTACTATGTGTCAGGCAATATATTGAGCCTTAGGGACAAAAATACAAAAGAAGTTTACATTTTAGTTAAGGAAAGGTGATGCTTATACAGGAGTGATAGTGAAGGGAGAGGCTTTTGGATTGGGAAGTCACAGGGTTGGTGAGTGTCCACTAACACATTCTTTCTACGTGTAATGGCTGTATTGATTTGACTATACGTTTAAGAGCAAGATGTGGAAAGCAAGGAGTAGATAGAGGAGAATACACATTAAACAAGGTAAAAAATGGCTGGGTGAAGATGATAATGCACAGTCTTAAAGTGTTCAGAACCAAGTGGCTTAGTCTCCTACTCACTATGGTCTCATAGAGGTCCAGTTTGTATTCAGTCACTCACTCAATAATTTATTAAATACCTACCATGTACACTCTACTAAGTTCTAGGAGTAATAATAAAAAAAGACTGAAACAGTCCCTTGACCTGATTGAGCTTATTTTTATAGAGGAGGTAGCTAGGTAAGTGACACAGTGGATAGAACCCTGGATTTGGAGTCAGTAAGACAAGTTCAAATCTTGTATCAGTCACCCAGCTTGTTTTTTTTTTTTATCTGGGGGCAGATAATTATTCTTAGCTTCAATTTCTTCATCTATAAAAAGGGAATAATAATACCACCTATCCTCAGGCTTGTTATGAAGACCAAATGAGCTAAAATATGAAGTCCTTTGCAAATGTTAAAGCTTTATATAAATGATAATTATCATCATTATTATAAGTATACATATAATATATACAGAATGAATATAAGGTGGCTTTGAGTGGGGTGCATTAAAAATTGTGGCAGATTAGGAAAAACAACCAAGCATGTAGAAGGTAATGCTTGATCTTAGCCTTTGAAGGAAATTAGGGATTTTGAGAGGCAGAAGTAAGGAGGAAGTATGTTCAAAGAATAGGGGCAAACCAGTGCCAAGGAAATGATGCCTGGGTCATCATTGTAAGGATGAGAAAGGAGGCTAGTATGACTAGATAAAAGAATGTGTGTAAAGGGATTAATATTTAAGAAGATAGAAAAGGTAGAAAGGGACCAGAATATGCCAAACATAGGAGTTTATATTTGATTCTAGAAGTAGAATTATTAATGCAACTTATCTATCTCCTCTTTGTAGGGAAGTGGAGGACAGCAAGGGCAGAATGTGGTTAATACATTGCCTGACAGTCACTGTATTATTTAAATGTGGGAGGGGTGACATGTTCAGATCTGCATTATAGGAAAATAATTGTCAGCTATGTGAATGATGAATTACAGTGGGGGAAGTCTTGAAATAGGAAGATCAGAAAAGTAGATATTCCAACAGGAGAAATGAAGGGTGATGAGGATGGCAGTTGTGTAAATTCAGAGAACGAGATCTGTAAAAGAGGTGAATACATTCACATGTATTCTACATGTCTTTATCTTTTCTTTTCTATATGATTATTATGGTATGCCTTTTAAAAGGTTTTATAAAAACCTAGGTAAACTATTTACAGAACTCCCTTGATCAATAAGTTTGATACTATTTTTAAAAAAAGAAACAACATTGGTTTGGCCTGAAGTCATAATTGTTGTTTATTGTTTTCTTTTCTTTGTGTTTTCTAGTCATTTCCAGAGGATCTATTTTAAAATTTCCCCAGGAATTAAAATCAGGCTCACTGACTCAAATTCTACAGAATCAGTTCTCTTCCTTTTTTGAAAATCAGTATGTCATTTGCCCCTCTCAAATCTTATGGTACTTCTGCCCTCTTCCATGACTTTTCAAACATCCACCAACAGAGGGTAAATAATGACATGTACCAGTTCTTTCAGTAGTTGTGTAAGTAGTCCACCAGGAACCAGGTGACTTGAATTTATCAAAGGCAGCTGTTTGTTCTAATACTTTACCTACCTTTGGTATCAACTCCTTGTTAACCATTTTGTACCATCATTTCTAGTACAAAGGTCACTCTTGACAGGGAAGGTAGAAACAAAGCAAATTCAAAAACAAAACAAAACCTGAGCAAAGGTCATCTCTTTACTGTCAATTATCACTACCCTGTCATTACAATAAGCAGTCCTATCCCTTTATTCATCTGCTTCTCCTCCATATATATGAAAACAAAACAAAAAGTTTAATTTTCCTCAGCTTGCCTCAACTCAACTCATTCTGAGTTTCCACATTCATTACATCACCATGCCATTTTGTTATATATATTTCTCGTTACCTACTCTTCCTCTCATCTTCTATATACATGTTATAAAAATCTCAGTTTGTCAGTGCGTTCTCTTTTATATACACATTGGTCTCTTTAGGTAACTCCCAATGGAATTATTTCCCTTTGTGTCTTCAGAATGTCCTTCTTCAGAGTCTACCATTGTTACTAAACTGATTTCTCTTGTAGAATTTTACTCCATGGACTCTTTCCTAACCTTACTCTGAACTCTCTGAAATTTGTTCTTTTAGGCAAGCTCCAAATCTCTGTAATCTAGAGTCTCTATCAAACACTCTACGAGGGAGTAATAACTTCCCCTCAAAGTTCTCAACATTTTTGTTTCAGAACCAGTTTCTCCCTATAGGTAAAAGTCACATCCAAGATAGAATTTCCACTTGATGCTTATTCTACCTTTAGAAAGATGAAATAATCATTGTCATTTTAATAAGTAATTGGTTTCTCTGTTTTTGACATAGAACTCCAGCAGGATAAATGAAGTACTACTATATTATTATTATTATTATTATTTCTCTGCCAGATTTGTGATCTGTTTAATGAATTGCACATTTATTTTCTCTTTCTCTTTAGGTGATCTGTAGTATGCTCCAATAACAAAATTACTTCTGTTTTTCTTTAATCAATTAACCACATTAATCTCCATCTAAGCATTCACTACCATGCTCTTTTATTGCATATATATATAATTATATATTTAGCTCACATATATCCTCAATATAAAATATGACTCTAACCTCCTACCTCTTTTTACTTATGAATTTTTTTGTTAGAGTTTGTTTATTTTCTTTCTTTTTTAAAAAGGAGAGTGAAAACACAGTCCCCCACTACCACAAATTATGCAGTCAAGTTTCCCACATTTGAGGAAATCACAGGGGTCAATCCATCCAGAGTGCAATGGATATTGCCCTGGTGAAACCACCTTCTTGATCATGGAATCACCCTTGCATGGTAAATATGTTGTTTGTTTGTTTTGATTAACATATAACAACACAGAGCCATGTTCCAGTCATGGGTTTTATTTCATGGAGTATAAGTGGTCTATGAAGTACAATTTGCCTCCTTATATTTGGACCTCTAATTCTTCTTGTTTGTTGCCTAAACCTTGGTCATTCATGTTTAAGCCATTTCTTAGATTTTGTATTGTGTGATCTACTATATGTATCAGCTGGAATTCTTCTCTTTGCATTGAAACTACTCTCTAGCTTGGTAGATACATATAAAAGTTCTCGCTTTCCACCATCCCTTTTAGTTTAAGGTCCTTTTGTTTAAATATGCAAGACACATGGCAGTTAGATGGTGAAATGCATAAAATACTAGACTTGGGATCAGAAAAGGCCAAGTTCAAATCCATTTTCAGACACTAACTGTGTGACCCTGGGAAAGACACTCAACATCTGTCTGCCTCTGTAACCTTATTTGTGGAATGGAGATAATAATATCACCTACTTTCCGGGGTTTTTATGAGGAGAAAATGAAATGATATTTGCAAAGCACTTTGTAAACCTTAAAATGCTATAAAATTAATAATCATCACAATTATGCTCCTCCTTTTCTTCTTCTTCCTCCTCCTCCTCATCATCAATCACTAACCTTTGTTAGGTATACTCAGTCCTTTGTCAGGAGTTTGCCATACCTGTATTTCAATCCGTGGTATAAAAATCCAAATCTCATTTTCAGATGCCACTTATTTAGTCATCTGTTAACTTCTCAAGTCATTTTTTGTCTTGTGTATCCCCTGATTTCAATGAGAAGCAGTGAAGAAAACATAAGCTGTGCCCCTATGGTCTTCAGAATCTTTGCCAAGAGCATTTGGCAATACTTTGTGGGTTCTTTTTGTCAGTATAATTTGTGCCTACATAAAGCAGAAGTGAGTATTATTCATCTGCTTTGATGTCTTGGGAGATCTTCTGTCATATCCTGAATATGTAACAGACTTCTTTAGTGCTGCTAACAAGCTGACAAGTAATTTTCTCTGTACCTCTGAGCAGGTTATCTCCAACCATTCTTCCACTGACCTTCACTTTTCTCCAAACAGTTAACTTCTATAACTCTACCTAATCCTTCCTTGGAGCATAAGGAGTTGCTTTCTTCTGAGAATATCCTTCTCTCCTTTCTTCAGAATCTCATTTTTTTTAAGTGAGGCAATTGGGGTTAAGTGACTTGCCAGGGTCACACATCTAGTAAGTGTCAAGTGTCTGGTGTGAGATCGGATTTGAACTCAGGTCCTCCTGACTCCAGGGCCAATGCTCTACCCACTGGGCAATCTAGTTGCCCCTCAGAGTCTCATTTTTTTAAAGCTCCAAGTGTATAGTTGTTCTTTTCCTTTCCTTTCCATTCTTAGTGACAATATTTTACTTTCCATTCTTCTGAAAAGGGTAATTTTTGCCCAAAAGTTATTTCTGCATCTATCATAGTTACTATTGTTGTTGTTTAGGAACACTTTTCAGAAGGACTGAGAACTGGATAGATGGGCAGATTTGATGAGTAGGTATTAATGGTTCAATGTCAATATGGCAGGCAATGTCATGTGTACTATCTTAGGGATCTATGTTTGGCCCTCTGCTATTTAATATTTTATCAATACCTTGGATAAAAACACATATAGAATACTTATCAGATTTGCAGATGATACAAGGGTTAGAGGAATACCTAACGTACTAGAAAATATCAAAATTTAAAAAGGATCTTGATAAGTTAGAGCCTCGGTTCCCCAAATTTTTTGTTCCATAAACCCCTTGGACAACAATAGCAAAATGTATTGTGAACTTACAGGGTAACAATACACTACACATAACATTCCTTTAGATTTTTAAAATAATAACTATAATGATAACTTTTACCCCCTGAAGCTCAAATTGTCATTTATAATACATAAGTATAATTATAAAATATAAATTTTATTCTGCCTATGATTATGAAAATTCTACATATGAAATTATAGAAATATAATATAAAATAATTATGAATATTTCATGTGGTACATTCTATTTGAATTAAAAGAGGTAATCCAGAAAGACTTTGTATACTCAATGTTATCTAAAGGACTTCAAATGTCATTTTGAAAAATTTCACAAATTTTGTTAAACATAAATAAAATTGTGATGTAATAAGTAATGACTTTGAAGATTTTAACATAATATTATAAATATGTATAAATTCAATTACTCTGTTGGAATTTTTTTTTATTTGAACACAGGTTTGCAGTACTTGACTCAATACCAGACAAACACAGTCCAAAATCTGGTTTCACAATTGACTTTTATTCTGCATTTTGATTTAAAATAAGATTGAAGTGAAAATACACAAATACGTAGTGAAAAATAATCAGAAAATTTTAAAAGTTCTCTTGCAAAGAGATGAAAGTACATTTTTGAGAAACATTAGTCTCCAAACCAATCAAGGAAAATGAATAGCTAGTTTCAATATAATAGCTGGTTTCAGTATAAAATATTTACTTTTTTAACGACAAGTGAAAAAAATACTTCATTAAATGTAACTATACTAAAAGTTCAATTGAATATATTGCTTCATTTTTAGCAATGTTTATATATAAACTGACATTTGAAAGGAAATAATCTTTTCAGAAATGATTTTCTTCTCCTCTACACTGGGCTATATTTTCACAAAAACTATACTGAACTGCCTAGTGTTGCTGTTTAGTTCGTTTCAAAATCTACCAGACAAAAGTAGCATCAAAAATACAAGTGGAGGAAAAGTTTACATATGAAAACAGCTCAAATATTACAATAAAAGGAAAAATAAAGTGTGCTTCTGCAAAACCATTGTGAGGATCTGAGATGGTTTCAAGATGGTTTGGAACACAGATGTCTACTGATCATGCTTTTCAAGAAGCTCGACCTTTATTCTGTAAGAACACACACTTTCAAAGCATTTTGAAGAATGGTGAACAGGGGCAATAGTGGAATAGATTGCTATGTCCTACACAGAAACTATGCAGAGTTGATTTAATCATAGCTCATGGTTTCCTAACTGCCCAGGCTGGGGAGGAGATGTAGGAAAAGTAGGGAGTGAAGTGAAACATCGTTGAGGCTTTCCTGATATAGTAGGCTAAGGAAAACAGTCAATAATTAGCACAGTGGAGCTGAGAGCAGAAGTTTTTCCAAGGCATTATTTCTAGTGTACCTGGCAAGGCAATTGGGAAGGCAAATTACTGCTGAGTAGTGATAGATTAGTATTCTAAAAACAAACAAACAAAAAACACCTCGTGATTTTAGCAGATGATAAGCTTAATATATGTTAGTAATGTGATATAGTGACAAAAAAACAGACTAATTCAGTTTTGGGATACATCAAGAGAAACAGAGTTTTCAAGAATAGGGAGATAATAATCCCATTATACTATTAGTTTCTCAAGACCTCAACTGGGTAATGTGCTCCATTCTGTAGAGCGTGTTTTAAGAATGATCTTGATGGGTTTGTGGGTGTCCAGAGGAAGGCAACCAGGATGGTAAAGGGCTTTGAGTCCATGGCATATAAGGACTGTTTAAAGAAATTGGGAAAGAAAAGATTCAGGAGATCTGTCTTCAAGTATTAGAAGGACTTTAATGGACTTTAATGCAGAGGAGAGAGACTTTTTTTTCCATTTGGTATTAGTAGGGCAATGGGTGGAAGTTACAAAAATGCAAATTTAATCTTGGTGTCAGTAAATATTTTCTAATAATTAGAATTTCACAAGAGTGGAATGAACTACCTTAAGAAGTGATAGATTCCTAGAACAGAAACTAGACAAATCAGTCAATAAACATTTATTAAGTACCTATTAGGTGCCAAGCACTGTGAGATGCAAATACAAATAAAAAGAAAGATAGTACCTGGCCTCAAAGAGCTTACAATCTAATAGAAGAAGACAACATACTGAAAAATGCTAAAAAGAGCAGAAGAAAGGAAGGTACCCAGAATGGGAGCATGATGAAGAAGTTCAAAGAGATCCAAAAGCAGTACAGCTGATTGGAAATGGTAAGAAATGAGAAAATGACTTTCCTGGGCCCCCTTCTTAAATGGAGGTTTGGGAGCTCATGACTCTGCCCTCCAGTCAAACAAATCATCCAATCAGAAGGACAGAGGGTGAGTTACAGTAGGCATTTCACTAGAAGGCCTCTGAGGTCCTTTCCAACTCCCAAATTCTCTGATTCTCTGATTCTGCCTCAGCTGACAAGGGTCTTAATTAGGGAAGACTATTGTTTTAGGACTCCTTCAGATTAAGGAGGTTTTAATTATTTTCAACACAGTAGGCCTAAAGATAATAAGGAGCTTGATTTTGGTGCAAGGCAAAGACTGGTCCGAGAGTCGGAAGATGTAGATTCTAGCTTTGGTTCTCCCACAAGTTGTCTGTGTGAATTTAAGCAAGCCACTTGGGCTTTCTGGGCCTCATTTTCGTTATTGGCAAAATGAATGAGAGAAATACTAATATCTCTGCTCAGCTCTAAGATTGTATAATCAGCAGCACGTCCTCTGCAGCACATCGGCATATTAGAGACAGCTGTCAGTATAGTGGATAAGAGGGCTAGTCCTGGAGCCTTGAGGTCCCCAGTTCAAATATGGTCTCAAATACTTTCTAGCTGTGTGAGTTGGAGCAAATTTCTCTGTTTGCCTAAGTTTTCTCAACTGAAAAAAGGGGATAATAATAGCACCTACCTCAAAAATGATATGAGGATGAAATGAAATGATGTTCTTTTTTTTTTTTTTTGGTAAGGCAATTGGGGTTGACTTGCCCAGACGCACACAGCTAGTAAGTATTATGTGTCTGAGGCCGGATTTGAACTCAGGTTGTCCGGACTCGAAGGCTGGTGCTCTATCCACTGTGCCACCTAGTTTATCCTGAAATGATACTTTTAACAAACACTTACCATGTGTCTGGCACATAGGAATCACTATATAAATGCTTATATCCACTTCTTCTTCTTCTCTTCCTTCCTACCTCTATGTCTATATCAGA